TACAACTTTATGTCATTATTCATTAATGAATATATGAACAACCACACATTAATATCCACATTAAAAATTACTTAATTGATTACATACTATAACATCCTAATTTCCAAACCATATTTTTTTTCATTTTTAAATTGATATAAAAACATTGTTCATAAAAACCATCTCAAGAAAATCACAAATGTAAAATACAGATCATCATCAAAATATTAGAGTGTCCGAAAATATCCGAAATCATAAACTGTAGGCGAAGGTGTAGAATCAAGCCTTCACATTCCCGTTATCCTCAGAAGTAGTTGAAGCACATTTAATCAACAACTGTAATCATGGTGCTTAGTTCTCCAAAATATCACATACAACACAATACAAAATAAACAGTTATGGATTATCAGCAACCCTAAGGACTACCCAAAGTCTTATTGGGCAAACAACATGTCTTGTGGGTTATCAGCAACCCTGCAGACTACCTGAAGTCTCAACACACTCAGTAACACATATCACAATACAACACATAGGTCCAACTTTTCATCACATATATAATATATTCTACCACACATGTAAGAAAATTGAGGATATTCACCTTGTATAGATGACTAATAGAACACACACTAAGACTGCTAGAACTAGACTCTGCCTAAAATTTACACAAATTAACCTTAATTAATAATTAAGGTAATTTTTTTTTTACTTCATTAATCCCAAGATAAGTCTAATCCACATCTAGGGAAAAAACCATCTTGCACCCTAAAAAACCCTCACAAATCCACATAAGGCAAAAGTCAAAGAAAGTCAACATGCGGTCGTACGTGCACCGTACTCAGCTCTAATATGGGCGTAGAGCACTAGGCTGTAAAGATCAGGCTTGCAACCGGCTATGCTGGGCGTAGCCAGGATTACGCTCGACTTATGCGGCTTATCCCAATGCTTAATTTTTAAGGTCGCAATCACTAAGACACTTACTCCAACCTCAAATATGACCCTAAAAAGACATCCTAATGCATAAAGTCTCTGAATTTATGCATTTGCATGTGTAAAGAGAGCTTAATCCCAAAACCCTAACATTTCACTTCACCAAAAAACTCCATAAATCAAGCATGGATGAAAGGAAAGGGCTAAGCTAGCATTTTTATGACTCTATGTATCCTAAAACGTTTGAAAGGACAACTCATAACCTTTGGAGTTTTCCATATTCACAAATATCAAGGTTTTGGGATAAAATGAACATAAATCTAAGCCTAAACAAGATCTCGCAAAACAAGCTCCAAGTTATGAACTTTATACCTTCAAAAGACGAACACACAGATGTAGATTGTGGATCAAAATGCTTAAATGCACCACCAATTCTTGAATGATCTTCATTTACTACCAAGAACATTCAAACATCACTCTCAAGCTTCTCACTCACAAGGGTTAGGGTTTCGATTTTAGGGTTTAGAGGAATGGAGGTTGATTATAAGAAGGTCCAAGGGGGATTAAGATGTTTAAATATGGGACACAACCCTAAAAACTTAGGGTTTAAGGAATGCACGAGTACGCCCGACATACCCAAATGTACGCCTAACGTACTCCTCCTCCGCTACGACTCTCACATTGACTTACGCCCGATGTATACACCTGGTATACCCAACATAAATGGCTAAATTGCAATAATTTAAAATACTACCGGTTGAAAAGGAAATACCTGGCAACGGGTGTTACACACATATAAAATTTTTATAGTAGAATAATAACGTAAAAATGAATATATAAATACTTAAGCGTAATTATTCACATTGTAATTACTACAATGCTACCCATATTAAATTCAATGTAGAATAATAATATAAAATTGTATTCTCACTTTATTGTGTGATCTCATTTGAACTTATTATATATATATATATATATATATATATATATATATATATATATATATATATATATATATATATATATATATATATATATATATATATATATATATATATATATATAAATAATGATCAATGAATGCATGTTGATTTGTGGTTGTTATTTGTAATTTGATAATTTGATAGTTTGGTTTCTTTGATAGTTTGATAAATTGGTAATTATGAGTTTGTTGGTTTGTTAGTTTGGCTGTTGGTTTAGCTTAGAAGTTAATTAAATAGTTTGCTAGTATGGTAATTACTACTTTGATGGTTAATTGGCTTATGTTGGCAATTTGTAATTTGTTATATTTTGGTAATGGTTTGTTTTTTAGTTTGGTTTATGCTGATAGTCTAGCTTATAATTTTATATGTTGTTATTTATTACGTAGTTGGAGAATTTTTGTTCAATGCTCAACGATGCAACGTGTAGTGCTGAACTTCTAACATGGTTCGCGGCGAATAAATTCCATGTGATTCTAGAAGAAACGAGGAGAATCAAGATGATGACATGTCTAGACTAATTTGTGCTTTGTTATACTTGTTATGTCATAACTTGATAATACTTTTGTTATTGTTTTGGTATATTTATGAAATTATAACCGTTTTTGGTACTTAAGTGGATGCCGTGTAATCATTTTCTGTATTTAATGTCGTTACGTAGATGTTTTTTGCATCTAAGAAAATTGCTGATTTTTAAAATATAAAAGTAAAAAACAATTTTACCAACGATGCTTTTAGCGGCAATATTCGGCTACTAGTAGTGAAGAGGCCATTAGCAATGATTAATTAAGAGGTATTACTGACAACAAGACATGTACCCGTGAGGAGTTTCTTTAGCTGCGAGTTTTTTGAGTAATAGTGTCGATATGTTGCCACTATTGCTTTTAGCGGCGATCTTGTGTGGTTTTAACCGTGACATTTGTCGGCACTAATGATCGGTTTTTATGTTGTGAGTGTGTGTGTGTGTGTGTGTGTGTGTGTGTGTGTGTGTGTGTGTGTGTGTGTGTGTATATATATATATATATATATATATATATATATATATATATATATATATATATATATATATATATATATATAGGGAAAGGATCAAATGAGAACACCTAAAAGGTTGAGAACGCGAGAACAAGTATATTCATTTGTGATTCCATGTATTCATTTGTAGCGAAATGATAAATTTTTATGCACAATCAATATGAATATGCTTTTTCTTTTCAATTGAAATTAAAGGCGTAAAAATTTATCATTCCTCCACAAAAGAATATACTTTGTTCTCGCGTTCTCAACCTTTTTGGTGTTCTCATTTGATACTACTCCTATATATATATATATATATATATATATATATATATATATATATATATATATATATATATATATATATATATATATATATAAAATCTGTTATCAAATAATGGGAAAAAAATACCCGTATATGTTCTAATGAATGAAAGCTGAAAACCAACCACTGAGAACTTTTTTTTCAATTGTAATATTAATTATTAATTAATTCACAATATTTAATTCCGTTAGAACACAGAGAATGACACGAGATAAGTGTGGGGTTGCTTGTGCGTAGACCTGAAAAACGTGTCGTGTCGGATTCGTATCGTGTCAAGACATTAAACGTGTTGAAATGTCTTGATCCTAACCCGACCTGTTTAATTATCGTGTTGTGTCGTGTCAACCCGTTTATTTTTGTATCGGTTTTGTGTCGGGTTTCGGGTTATGGTTTAGACCTTGTAAATATGTTGTGTCATGTGGAGTTGAAATATTTTAAAGGTTGGAAAGAAGGAGTTGTGGAGGCAAAAAGGAAAAAATGAAAGTCTAGAGTTATGAGATGGAATGATAAAATTTATAGTGGTTTTGAAATTTTGAATATTATTTCTAATTATTGAGTTTGACCCACTACAAGTCTGTAATATATAATATATTTATAAAAATATGAAATTTATAATAAATAATATATAATTAAACGGGTCATATTTGAGTCATCTTCGAGTTGAAAGTCTTGACCCTAACCCTACATGTTTAATTATTGTGTCGTGTCGTGTCAACCCGTTTACATAAACGTGTCGAAATCTCTAACCCTAACCCGCTAATTTCGTATCGGGTTTTCGTGTCGTGTCATGTTTTGTCAGGTCTACTTGTGCGTGGTACCGAAATTCCAAAAGTACTACAAAGAACACAATTCCATCAATTATGGAATTGTGGTACCATATAAGTTCGTGTGTTTAGCGGGTTAATGAACCCGTCTAACCATTGGGTCCTTGTAAATTATATTTATATCTTTGTAAATTATGTTTCAATATTTTTAAATTTTAGAAAATGAAAATTTTTGGAATGTGATAATATATAAATACTAATTTATTTCAGGTGTAGTTTAATGAAAAAGTTGAATAATATGACATGTTTAGCTAATTGATTAAACTCTATTATTGTTAGATGTTATGTTGACATTAAATGGATATGGAGTTTAATGACCATTAAACTCTTTAAAGAGAAAAAAGAAACCGTTTAACTATTAAAAATATATTTCATCAAAATTTATAAAGTTCAGTGTATTATAGAAAAATTAATGTAGAATTTTATAAAAAATAAAATGATGATGTGTTAATCTATTAAACTCTAATAAGTTTAATATATTATGAATGCCATTAATTTATTTAAATAGTGGGTAAATCTCATAATATAGTATTTTCTGTAATCAAAACAAGAGATCCTTCCTTATAAATTCAAATACGTCATATTCAAGAAACATGTTCAAAAGCATCACAATCATTGGGATCGTGGTCGGTGTCACCGTCAGGATTGCAAAATCATTACTTCCATCAATAATAACCTTTTCTTCTAATGAATTTTTCTTCTTTCTTTGTGATCTTGATTGATCTGGAAGTCATCTTAGCAATGAAACGAAAATTTTCAAATGTCCTAATTTCATTAGTTAATATGAAATTGAAGAAGCCTAACTAAGGATCGAAGGAGTCGGGAATGAATCATGTGGCATTTAATTGGGTTATTGGGAGTTTGCAGTCAAAGAATCCGTGATCAAACTCATCATCTTCCGAAAATAATTCACTATACTACAACACAACCAATCCAAATTGCTAGAAAATGCAAAAAAAATTCCAACAATGGGTGCAACTGCAAACTGGTCATTATAACGAAATGGTGGTTTCCGGTGGGAAGGATCACCTACCTCCACCATTACTGTAGGAAAATAAGTACATATGCCTTGCGCCACGACGATCAGGAAAATTCTCAGCTATAATACATTCAGGAAATCAGGATAACAAAGCTAAGAGGTTGTGGCTAGAGACGTACGATACGGCGGAGGAAGCTGTTGGTATACGATCGAGCAACTTTTAAGGAACGTGGAACAATGTCGTTCTTAACTTTCCAAATTTAATAGGAACCATCAATGTAAGCCCTGAAAAAGATACCAACCGGAGAAAAAAAAAACTATAGCTTCTATGTGGCATCTCTACCTATGAATTTAGGTAAAGAGACTAAAAAATAGATTACTTATAACTTTGTTTCCTCGTTAAACCACATAAATAATGTAAAGACTAAAAGAAACAATCCTAAAAAAATTGTAGAGCATTTATCTTATTTCCCCAAAATAGTTGTATCGATAAACTCCTTTAAATAAAACCAAAGTCAAGATGTCCAAATTACACTTCATAAATAATATACCTAGAGATATAAATCACTTTGACACTTTCGATCTGAATCTAGCCTTAGCTAGCCCTAACCCTAACCCCAAACCCATGAGTTCTCTTCTAGGAGTAAAACACATGGGTACCAAAAACCCACTACATATAACCCTTACAAACCCTAAACATAACAAGCATATGATGCGAAGAAACATAGATTTGAACTCGTATGAACCTATTTAAAAATCTAGATCACCTCCGTCCCCACTAATCCAAGCTACCCACTTTGGTTCAGCTCAGAATTGATCAATTCGGTGTTCTTGTTCATCATTCAATCTTTCTACGGTAAAATATTTGTTTGATATAGTTGGTTCTTGAATCACAAGAACCGATCGGAGATGGATCCTACGACACACTCTCTTCCACCTCCGTTTCATACAAGAAACTTCAATCTTCACCAGTTCCAACAGCAAAATTCCGAAGATGAACAAAGCGGCACCAGCGGTCTCAACATGGGTGGCCAAAAAATAGACCGTGAAGAGAAGAACAACGACGAGATGTTAAACACCAGCGGTGGTGGTGGCAGCAGTGAAGGCAAAGACGGAGAAATGGGAAGAAGGCCCCAGAGGACGTCCATCAGGGTCAAAAAACAAACCTAAACCACCAATTATAATCACCAGGGACAGCGCAAATGCTCTGCGCACCCACGTCATGGAAGTTTCCGATGGATGTGATGTCATGGACAGCATCAGCACTTTTTGCACGCCGCCGGCAACGTGGTGTCTGTATCATAAGTGGGACTGGCACTGTCACAAATGTCACACTCCGGCAACCTGCCTCGCCAGGGGCAGTTGTGACATTACACGGGAGATTTGAGATTCTGTCGTTGTCTGGTTCTTTCCTGCCTCCACCAGCACCGCCTGCGGCTACGGGGTTGACTATTTACTTAGCTGGTGGTCAAGGGCAGGTAGTAGGTGGCAGTGTAGTTGGAGCACTTTTAGCTGCGGGGCCGGTGGTTATCATGGCGGCATCATTTAGCAACGCCGCCTACGAAAGACTCCCTCTTGAAGATGAAGAAAGTACTCTGCCGATGCCAGGTGGCTCACTTGGATCTCCGGGAGCCATTACACCATCATCACAACAACAACAGCAATTAATGGGGGATCCATCGCTATTTCAAGGCATGCCACCCAATCTACTCAACTCAATTCAGTTACCAAATGATGCTTATTGGGGTAACAACGGTGGTGGTCGTCCATCTTTCTAAGATCACAATCTGTGTAACTGCATGTCACTAAGAAAAATTTCAGGTTTGGATTCTTTAATTTCCTCTTTTGTTGTTAAATTATGTCAACTCTTGTACTAAATTTCACGGATTTTAGGATTTCTTGATTTGTGTGTGATGCTACGATGACATACATATATGCTTGTATTAATTTGAATTGTAAGAGAGCTTTTCAAAATTTTTATTCTTGGTGAGTAGTTGGGTTGGTTCTAATAAAATCAAACAATCACATTTTAATAAAAAAAACAAAATACGTTCTTCATTCTTCATGTTGTGACCCGATAATTTACTGATTCGTGCACGATAAATTTGTGGACTACAAAGCACCCTCAATAATTACATATAGAAAGCAATATCGTTAATTGGTAATTGAAGAACTATATAACATTTACATGGTGTACAATTTGTCTTTTAAAAAAAATTGTATCGCATAAAGAGGAAGAATGACACAATCTGATAAAACCTGAACCTTAAAAACAAGAGTAGTGTCATCATAACCATTTAATTAGGTTTGTTTTTAACAGTATAGTATGGTTTTAGACGGTCAAATAATATTTTTACAACACTTGAATCATTATAGAATAAAGACTCTCACCTATAAATTAGCAATAATCATATTATACACTTGTTATTCAACTCTACGACAGTTATGAAAGATCATATCTTTTGAAGCCTGTTTGAAGGGCAAGAGAGCATGTTGTATGAAGTATAATGAGAGTTTACTTTCGTAAAGGGTTAATGTACTTGCACTTAATTAGTCTATCTAGCTTTGTTGGTTATTTTTGGAAAGAGAAATGAGAAGCTTTGTTATGAAGCAATGCCTACAAACAAAACATTTTGTTTTCTACTGGCGACTCCTATCTGTCGAGTTAAGTACACCTATATAATTATATATGCTTTTCTTTCATCCATTATTTTCGGTTCTTTAAAAATATCTGTTAGCTTTTTGGAAGCAAAGAACAGGTGTTGCTAAAGTTGATAAAGAATCTCCAACCCAATGGTATAAAAATGTACCAACACCTTTTATTACTTAAAAAAATGTGTCATAAATAATATAGCATAAAAATTGTATTGTATTATTCGTTAACAAAAAAATTTAATGTGAATGTTTCACGTCATTTTTACTACTTTAGGTTTCAAATTATATATTCCTAGTTAATATCAATTGCTCGAAGTTACTAATTTACGTATAGCAACATTCAAAATTCAATAATTGTTTCAAATTTAACTAAAAGATCGAATGTTTTGTAACACGATAATATATCTAATAAACTTAAAATTAACAAACATGCGCGTGCTTGCCCGCGCGCACACAAATATATATATATATATATATATATATATATATATATATATATATATATATATATATATATATATATATATATAAATAAAAGTTCAATTGAAAAAAAAAAATACAAAAGATTGAGAATGTATGAATGATTATCAATCAATCATTTATTTTTCCCGCAAAATCGTCTACCATACCAACAGAAATGAGAAATGAATACACGTATGTTTTCTAACCAACTAATGTTACATTAAACTATACTAACCATTATATTTTAATTTTTGTTTAAACTAAATCAATATAGATTTCTATTTATAACGAATAAAAAATTATTAATTTTGATATATTTAAAATCGTTTTTCATTAACAATAGATCTTTAAAAATTAAAAAGAAATTATGTTTTTTTTATATATACTAAGTTAATGATTAAGAAAGTTGAAGGAATATGTTTTGTTGGAAAACTCATGTTTATATTTATATCCAAATTCACCAATAAGACGTACTGTGTTACATCAAAATAAATATATGATTGAGATTTATTCTATCCTTTTCAACATTTTTTTCTCAATTGAATTATTATTATTATTATTATTATTATTATTATTATTATTATTATTATAAGTTCTTTTGAGAATAACAACTATTAGCGGCGACAACCAACATTTGTGAATATATATATATATATATATATATAATATATATATATATATATATATATATATATATATATATATATATATATATATATATATATATAGTAAAGATCAAATAAGAAGGAAATTTTTGGTAGGAAGGTAAGAAGTTTTTTTCTACATATTTTTTTCGCGAACAAACAAAATGAATCATTAGATGATTCATTTGTAAGATAATTCATATGAAAAAATTCTCAAAACAATATCTCGATGATTCATTTATACAATGATTTTGTTGTTATTCACTAAAATTATCATAAAAATGAATTTTTTCTTAATTTACTTAAAACTGAATCATAAAGATGTTTTTTTTGGAAATTTTTTCTTGTGAATCATCTTATAAATGAATCATCTAGTGATTCATTTATTTTGTTCGTCAAAAAAATATGTAGAAAAAAAACTTCTTACCTTCCTACCAAAAAAAATTTCTTACCGGATCTATATCCTATATATATATATATATATATATATATATATATATATATATATATATATATA